AGACCCAGGGAGGCGCCTGTGCACCCCCGGGATGGCCGCGAGGCGTGTCCTACAGCGGATGCTCCAGGGAGGTGTGTTCGGGAGGCAGGGGCCGGCTGTGTTGTGGGGGGCCCTGGCTCGCACACCCACGTTCTGTAGGGCCAGAAAGGGGAGGCGCCTTCCACAGGAAAACTAGGGGCCTGTTTGACACCTGGGGGGACCGTTGGGAGGGTGTCCGTATTCTCTGGGTGCAAGAGGGGTCTTTGTGTCTTCCGTTGGGTAGGGGTACTGAAAGCTGAGGTGTGTATTCCATAGGCCACCATAAGAGAAAGTTGTATATTTCACAGGAGATAGGCCCGGGCTGGCTGTCTGTACAGGGGCAGAAAGGGAAAGTGTACATTGGAGGGAGGCAGACAGGAGGGGCATGTGCATCCTATAGGGGACAGATGGAGGGTAGTGCGTTCTCCAGGGGCAGAGAGGGAAGGCTTGGCCCTCCTAGTAACAGAAGGAAAGAGCATTCTCCAGGGCCAGGAAAGAAAGGGGTCTGCTTTCTGCAAGAGAAGGAAAGCTGGTAGCAGGTGCTAGGGGATCGGGGAGGAAAAGGGGGTGTGTATTCCTTGGGGTGTGGGGATTCCACTGGAGAGCAGAGGAGGGTGTGTGAGGGAGGAGAGGGGGCTGGAGGGGGTGCTATGCAGGGACAGGGTGAAGACATCACTCCGGAGAGTAAGAGCGGAGGGTGGGAGTGTTTTCAGCACAAACACCTGAGGAGGAAGCAGACAAAGGCCTGGAATGAGAGGGAAGCTGCCCATGCATGGAAAATGGGACAGAGGAGGGAGGGGGACTCCTTGGGGACCTGAGCAGACATATTAATTGAAAAATTAAAAATTAACTAACATTTGTAGAGGCCTTCATAGTTTTCCGCACTTAAGTCTCACAACCAGTCTGTAAGATAGACGTTTTTTAGCTCACTTTGTGGAAGAGGAAACTGAGGCAAAGCACAGTCCGGGCTCAGTCCCTCCACCTGTTGGCTCTCTATCTTGAGATTGGGGTGCCTTCAGCTTGGCCCATGGGCCCAGGGTGGCAGTAGGTGGCCATGGTCAGACTCCCTGAATGGGCCTCTTGGCTCTTCCCTGCCGGCAGTTCCAGGGCCTGCAGCTGGAGCGCGAGGCGTGCCTGGCCTCCAACTACGCGCTAGCCAAGGAGAACCTGGCATTGCGGCCCCGCCTGGAGATGGGCCGTGCTGCACTGGCCATCAAGTACCAGGAGCTTCGGGAGGTGGCCGAGAGCTGTGCGGACAAGCTGCAGCGACTGGGTGAGGGGACAGCAGGACAACTGCCTGGGGTGGGGGGCAGTTGGCCATCTGGCTGGTTGGCCTTGGGAAGTGCCCTGCTCTGAAGGGTGGGACTTGGACAGATCAATTTCCCGGGCAAGTTTGAGGGGTGCTACTCTGGGAGAACTCCAGAGGTGGGGAAGTGAGCAGTCAGTAAGTAGAGCTGGGTTAGAGAGGCCAGAGGGGGACCCTGGGAGAAGGGGTCCAATTCCCAGGGGCCTGTGGTGCTCTAGGAGTCACAGCCCCTGCTTCCTCTTTTGCACGAGGACTGGGGGGAGGCGCACAAACTGATCCTGTGGGCCATTGTTCAGGTGAGGAAACTGAGGCTGAAGGGAATTGTAGAATCACACAGAGGGTCATTGAAAGAGTCAGGATGGGGCCCTAGGGCTCTCGCCTGTCTGTCCTGGGCAACAGGCCCTGAGTGCAGGGGCTATTCACACTGTCCCTCTGTGGCCCTCAGAGGAGAGCATGCACCGCTGGAGCCCCCACTGTGCGCTGGGTTGGCTGCAGGCTGAGCTGGAAGAAGCTGAGCAGGAGGCTGAGGTGAGAGGAGGGGCAGCTGGGCCTGGGGACAGGGAGGGCCCTGTCCTCTCATCCCCCACCCCTTAATTCTTAACACTGCAGGCTTGAGAGTCCCTCTCTTCCAGGAAGCCTGCCCTGAGTGCCTGGCCCCCAGAAGGGCCCGCTGCATTGCTATCTGCCCTGGACACAGGGCTCGCCATCCTCACCTGTGACTTTTTCCCCGGCTCCCTGTGAACGTCTCAGGGCAGCTTAGGCGAGGTCTACGGAGGAGCTGGGACAGACGTTTCAGTGCTGGGTTGGGACCACAGTGCTCAGTGAGTTGGAGGAGGTGGAGCAGGAGGGGCCCAGGCCTCGATGAGAAACACCTAAATCTACATCAAGTGTGTACCCATCTCTGATCTCGCCTCTTCTCTGACCTAGCAGGTCTGGTGACAGTAAGGAAATCAAGGCTTGAGAGTAGAGGACATTTGTCTACAAGTCAGAGGCAGACCCAGGCAGGAACTCTGGTGCCAGTCCCCAAGCTGTGGGGTGGTTGGCATTGGAAGGGATTCAGGGTGGGAATTCAGGGTAGGAGGGAGAGAGGACCAGATCTCAGCCTTTGGTCATGTCCCTCCCAAACTGTCCCTTCTCTCCTGTCCCAGGAGCAGATGGAGCAGCTGCTGCTGGGGGAACAGAGCCTGGAGGCTTTTCTGCCTGCCTTCCAACGAGGCCGTGCCCTGGCCCACCTGAGGCGGACCCAGGCCGAGAAGCTGCAGGAGCTGCTGCGACGTCGGGAGCGGTCTGGTCAGCCAGCCCCCACTGCTGCTGCGGATCCCCCCAAATCCTTCCCCGCTGCAGCTGTCCTGCCCACCGGGGCCGCCCGGGGGGCCACCAGCAGTGCCCCGGAGCCTGCCCCCCTTGGACTCCCGCCCAGTGCCCCCACTGAAGGGCTCCCCCGGGTGCCCCCTAGGCCCAGCCCCTCTGCTGAGCCCTAGGCCCTCGCAGCCAGAGCCCCCTCACCGGTAGGATCCAGGGTATGGCCCCCCAATGGGGGGCCCAGACAAACTTGATGCGTGGCTCCTCCTCCTCCTCCCCCACTGCCTGGGTGGGGGGAGGGGCAGGCCCCTCTCCCTGGCCCTAGGCAGGCCCTGGCCCTGGAGGCTGAGCTGGGGAGGAGGGTCACCTGGAAGATGCCCAGAGAGAGGGCCCCAGGTGGGGTGGGCAGAGTATTATGCCTCTGGTGCTGAGGAAACTCTGCCTATTTTTCTCCCCGGCTGGGGCCTCCTGGGTGATGGGCCAGCCCCAGTGAAAGAACTGTACTCACGGGGGCCTGAGAAGATGCCCGCTTCCTTCAAGGGGCCCTGCCTAGGGGCGCTGTGGCCCCCTGCCACTCCACTGGGCTCACACAATGCCAAGGCCGACAGGAGTGTTTTCCATCATGTCCTGAGCCTACCTTTCACCCAGTTCTGGGGTCCACCACCTAGGAGCCAGGTGGTCAGACTCCAAGTGCGGGGACAGGAGCACCATGGCCCTGGGGCTACTACCTGCCCCACTCATGCTCCGGACTCTGGGGCAAGGTAGGCCCAGAACTTCTGACCTGCACAGGTGAGAGTGGGCCATCCCCCGGAAAGACCATTCTGTATTTTTCTGTCCCCGTCTCCTTAGAATGGAACCTTTTTGAGGGCAGGTCCTTGTCTTTGTATGTTCTGTCCCCAGCCCCGCCTCCCAGGGGCCGTCAATAAATGTGATGATGAAGATGATGATGCTGCTCGCCTCCTCTCTGCTCCCTCCACCAGCTACTCTGCTGTTGCAGCCTCCGCATCTCAGCTCTGGCACTTCCTGCTCTTGAGATGCCCTCCCTTCCTCTCTGCCCATCCAAAGCCCAGCTGTCCTTCAGGTCCAGCACTGCTCCTGCCTCTTCCATGAAGTCTTCTCTGATTACCAACCCGTGGGAGTCTTTCCTAACTCTTAACTTCCCAGTACTTCTGGCCAGAAGCTCACTCTGTTCCCCTGTAGTTCTCCAATTGCCTCACCTGTATGCACCTTCTTTTCCAGGGTCGCCCGTAATCCCAGTCAGGATAATACCTGCTCCTTCTCTGGCCTGCCAAATGACCACCCCCACTGAGTGATGGAGGGGGTTCTGTAGGGCTGAAGGTTATCTGTCTTCAGCTCGGGTAAACACTAGGTGGCCAGCTTGGCTGATGATTGTGGGCCAAGAAGATGGGAGAGCAGGAACGTGTCTTGGATCAGCTTAGGTCAAGTCTAATGAGACGAAGTTTGGCAGGAAGGCACGGAAGGTCCTGCAAATAAGAGGAGACAGTCAGAGTCACAGAGAAGCTAATGTGATCTTGGTCCATGTTAATAGGGATATAATCATCTAGAAAGAGGCAAGTTCTGGGTTGGCTCTACTTTTTACTGAAGTTTTAAACTCTAAGAGGGACCCCAAAACAGCACCTTGAATAATGATGAGAACGAGGATTGGGACTAAGTCCCGTGAGGAACAATTGAGGGATCTATTTGGGATATGTGTGCGTCATGTTTAGCCTTCAGTCCTAAAGGACTGTTTCACGTAGAGCCAGAGGTCAATCAAGACCAATGGGTGGAAACCATAGGTTTTGGCTCAGTATGAGGCTCTTGAGTCATGGCTGCTACTGGAGGTAGATGGTCTCCATTTCTAAAGATGTGTGACCAATACCTGAGTGACTGCTTAATGGGATCTTCAGAAATTTAGGCAATAGTTAGACTGGCACATTTGAGCTTTTGACAGCCCCACAAGCCCAGTCAGATTCACCCCTAGCAGGGGCAAAGCACTGATCAAGCCCACTTGGGGACCTCCATCCCTCATTGGCCTTGGTTTTCCTACTCCTCACTGCTAGCACTTGAGCTGCTGGAGCTGAGGGGCGCTGGAGATGACACAAGATGCCTGCCTGAGATGACAGAAGACTGAAAAGCTCAGGAAGACCTGCATTCTCAGCACAGCCTCGGGCAAGCCGGGCCCCTCTTGCCCTGGCCTCCCCTTCCTGGTCCATACCTCAAGGGAGTCTTTCATTTGTAACAAAAAGGAGGAAAGGGGCTAAGGGTGGGCATGTCTGAGCTCCCTCCACTATTGTGAATTGGGGCACAGCCTCTAGAAGGCAGAGGCTAATGTCCACGGTCTGGTTCAGCCTCCCCTTCCCAGGGCAGGTAAGAAGAGAAGGAATGACCCACACAAGGGAGGAGCTGGGAAGAGAGGAGAATGTTACCATGGGAACCAGATAGGGTCCATCAAAAGGCCTTCCACACCCCTCACCTTCCTCTAGGAGCTCAGGCTCAGTTTTAGAGGAGACAGGGAGTACAGCCCCCCTAGTATTCAGCTCCAGCGTGAAAAAGACCAAAGACCTGAGGCAGGTGGGTATAGGTACCACCAGAGTGAAATGGGCCTTTCTCTGGGCCATGGGAAAGACTTAGGGTTGGATGGTTAATAAACTTTATTAACCCCTCTGCTTGAAGTTACATGGAATGTTCTGGAAAGTTCCAGGCAGCCTGGGCTCTCTCTTCTGCCTGGACACTTCTGGAACTTTCTATTTCCAAGTTCTGGGGCCCTAGGGAATGTTCTGGGTGGTAATCCTCTGTGAGAGAGGATAAACTTGAGGGTCTATGCCACAGGTTCCATGAGAAAGATACTATTATAGACCACCAGTGCTTTTACAAACCAAAAGCAAAATATTCCCCAAATAAAATTCCCACTCCTTTTTGATAATAACAAGGAGTTCTTGCCCTTCAAGAGTCTGTGATGTGGACCTCCTTATTTGGAAATCACTAGCTTCTGTGTATTTTCCTAAGCTTCCCACCTTGTTTTCCAAATATGAAACATAATAACAATAAATGTACCTTTTTTTTTTTTTTTTGGCTAATCAAGGCTTACTGAGTTAAGCAGGCCTGCACCAGAGTGAGCTCAAACCTTTTATCACTGAATCGTGTGGTCAGTGCAAAGCCATGGCTAAGAAGCTGCCTCTGACCCCCAAGACTAAAGAGAATTTAATGGTTTATAAGAGACCAAGTCTGACTAGCTGCAGGTTTATCCCAATTTATACAAGGATTTTACACAAGAGATTGATTGCAGGGATTGGTGTTACTGTACTGAAGGACCTCCGACTGTCTGGGAACTTGCCACCACTGTAGACCTCTCAAAAGATCCTTCTTGTCCCACAATGAAAATAAGATCAACACTGCCTCCCTGTGTAAAGTGTGAGCTCTTATAATAACATAGGTGGTAACCTAGGGATGTGCAAACTCAAAGGCGTGTAGAGGCCAGGAAGGTCAGGGTGCAAAGAAATCCACCCTCCCACATCTTCCTGGAAATGCAAGGTCCCCTTTCTTTTTTCCCTCTTGCTAGACATAGGATAGAGAGAGAGATTTCTCTAAGAGCAAACCAGTACAACTGTGTGCATCAAGGCCTCTGACACGGCCCCTCTGCTGCTGGGAGTGCAGCAGGCTGGGGTGCAAGGTTCTACCTAAAGGCAGACCTTACACCTCCTGGCAGTCACGCAGGTAGGGGAGAAAGCTGAACGGTGGCACATTTTCCCGTTTTTTGAGAAGTCAGAAATCTAGATTTCCAGGCAAAGTCTCCCAAGTTTTGAAAGTTGGCTGAAGTGATTTTAAGACATTGTGCCCTCCACAGCCACACACTGCGAGCAGGTTGGCTGTGGCCTTGAACCGGGAGTCTCGGTCTGTTCTTGGTCCTCCTGTAACAGGCCTCCTTTTGTCTAGCGGCAGTCCCCTCCCAGGGTGGAGGGTGTGACCGTTGATGGGGCCGAGGCCGGCTGGGAGGGCCAACCCACCTCAAGACTAACGCCAGGGCCCCAGGCTTGAACAGCCTTAGGAGATAGTGGGGACATGGCTAGGTCCACAGTGCCACTATGACCTCATGACAGATGGTGAAGGTGAGCTCTCTGCACTGGCTTCTTGGGGTTGGGAGCACTGAGCATTCCCAGCACATGCAAGTTCACGAGGTCCAGACTCAGGTCTCTCATCCTAAAATACTAACAGAGATAGAGCCTCCACAGCTTTGCCTTGGCCACCAGGGCTCCCAGCCTGGCCTGAGAGCCAAGCCGCTGAGGGTAGGTGGGCGGGCCTTCTGCAATCCTGCTCAGTGTGTGACCTTATCACAGGGCTGAGGAACGAGAGGGCAAAGGCCAGGAGTGAGCCTACTTTTCTAGTGCGCTGAATTCCAGCGAGTGGACTGAAGCAGCACTGCCACTTACCAGCTGTCCCTTCTCTCAGCCTCTCTGCATGGGATCTGGTGACCTTCCAGCAAACCCAAAGGACAGAGACAAGGACCCCCCATAGACACCACCCACCATTTCCTCAAAAGTGGGTGTGGTGGCCACTCAGGCTCCACCCTTGGTGTCTCAGCTTCAGGTGGCTATAAGGGATGGAGATAAATATTCTGTCCATATTGACCAACGGACAGCTCACTGGTCTAAGGTAGGCTATTCTTACTCAGCGTGGCTCATGCTGAGACCATTACAGAGGGCAAGTTGCACCCAGTGAACGAAACACCAGAACCTCGGAAGGAACCAAGGGATCTTACTCCCTCAGCACTAGGATGTGTAAAGAATGTTTTTACCCAGCAAAAAATAAAGGATAATGGAGGGAAAAGCAGTTTGGCTCAGGAGGAATAAGTCCTGATCAAGCAAAGACAGTATCACAATAGCCTAGACATGTATATCTTTGAGTCCTGCTGTCCTGTCTCCCCATTTAGGATCTGTGCACACTGCTCACTCAGCCTCGTACTGTACCTGCACCCCCATACCCACCTCAGTGAGCACGGCCTGGGCAAGCTGGGCCCCTCTGGTCCGTCTCCTTTCCTAGGTCCAAACTTCTAGTTTTGTATTTGTTTGTGACCAAAGGTGAAAAGGGACTGAAGCTGACCATGTCTCAACCTTCCTTCACTGTCAGGAACTGGAGAGAGCCCCTAAAAGGCAGGGGCTCACGTCCAAGGCCTGGTTCAGCCTCTCCTCCCCAGGAAAGGTAAGAAGTTGAGAAAAGAATGAGTTAGGACAATCACAGGGGGGTCAGGAGGGGAGAAATGATGTAGGAGCTAGTTGTGTGTTTATGTCAGGGGTAGGGGGTGGTGTCCTTCAAAAAGCCTCCCATATATCTCCTTTTCCACGCAAAGCCCAGACTCAAGTTTCAGGGATGGTAGGGAGTGGATTCTCTTAAGAGTTCAGCTCTGGGCTAAAAAAACCAGAGGCAGGCAGGATGGCACTAAAAAGAGAGTGGGCCTAGTTCTAGGCCCAAGGAAAGGCTTAGAGTTGGATGGTTAATATTTTATTGACTACCCTGTTTGGAGTTGCATGGAATGTTCCAGAGGTTTCACAGAGTCTGGACCCCACCGCCCCAAACATTCAGGAGCTTTCCATCTACCTCTACGTTCTGGGGCCCCAGGGAATGTTCTTGGCTGTGATCTTCACCAGGAGGAAACAAAACGAGAGGTCTACGGCAAGGAGCCTGTGAGAAAGGCCCCAGATATCACAGACCATTAGTGCTTTTACAAAACCCAAAAGAACTCCAACCCCATTTGACAGAAACTCAGATAGAATCTTGCCCCAAGGACACTCTGTTATGCCCCAACTCCTTGGCTGAGAATCACTAGCCTCTGTACATTTTACTAAGTTTCACTTCCTGTAGTTTGTGTTTTGTAAAGAACAGACTTTCCCACTTGTTTTCCAAATATGAAACATAATAACATTAATGTTCTTTTTAAAAGTACATGTGCCCTTCCCCCCAAACCAAGGCTCATGGAGCCCAGCAGGTCTGAACCAGAGTGGGCTTAAATCTTTACTACTGAGTCATATGGTCACTGCAAAGTCATGACCAAGAGCTTGCTCCCAACTTTCAAGGCTAGAGAAAACTGAAGGCTTTCCAAGAGACCAAGTTGAACTAGCTGTGGGTTTATCCCGATTTATACAAGGATTTCACACACAAGATTGAGTGCAGGAATTAGTATTAATATAGCAAAGCACCTCTGTCTTTGTTTAGAACCTAGACTTAGGCCCTCACCCCTGTGGTAGATCTCCAGCAAAGGTTTCCTGATCCCAGCTTTACACTCAACCCCAGGGCATAAACACTCGAGTACCTACACAGCTAACCCACACCCCACATGCTGAGATTTGGGGTTAAGACAGCTGGATTACCACAGCTCTAGCCAACTGATGACCGACTGCTTAGCAGCAATTTGGAATAGAGGGAAGGAAAAAAACCTCAGCCAGCTCTGAATAAGTAAGTTTCCGCCATGTGCCTCCTGTCCCTCAGTAGTCCTGTCTCCTCCAAAGTCCCCCAATTCCCACAGCCTCAAGCAGCCACGTTTCAAGGACTTGGCTTGTAAGGCCTGTGATAAGCACTGCAAGCAAAACAGGAGGACAGGCCACATTTAGGCAACTCAAACTGCCAGTTTGTTGCTCTATTTCTGGGATGGGATGAGCTGCAGTTAGTGATGGGTTCAGCTGCTCAACAGATGACCAAGTGACAGGCACACTGTCCCAAGGATAAACCTGACTCTACTGGCATTGTGTTTTAATCTCCAAGCCCATTAGAACACATGTAATTAAGTGTGACAGGCCTCAAGAAAGCAAATGATTTGCTCCTCTGCCGAAATGCCCAGAGTAACTTCTCCAAGGTCATACAGTAGATAAGCATGGGCACAGGAATGCTGATTCCTGTGCCCCATGACCTTACTTTCCCACTCTCATCAACAGAAGGGGGAGTGGGATCTGGGGCTGACCACCACAGAAGGGCAAGGTTTCCACAGATCACATCCTTACACTACATCAGATCTCACCTGTGGCTTGGGGAACTCACAGAAAGACAGTTTCATACAACCCCAGAATCTTTCTTTTGGCAGCCAACAATTGGTCACATTGCACATTTCAAGGTTAGAGAGGAGCCCCACGCTACAAACGTGGGGCAGGCAGAAGCAGGTAAGTCTTGCTCAGGGGCTTACAAGAAAGCCAGAGCAAGTGTCCTGGAAGTTAATAACCTCTGGAAGCACGCACCCCCAGGGCTCCAGGAAACCCTTTCCTCTCGGGCTTTCGGGACTCTTCACTGGGGGCCTCTTTCTCGGGCATCAAGTCTCCTTTTCCGGGCCAGAGGGGTACGGATGTGCAGGTCAACGGCTAAGCTGGCCAGGTGGGGAAGAGGACGGGGAGAGCAGGTCTTTCGGACCCCAGCAGAGGTAGACAACGGAAGGCAAAGTGTTCAAGATGACAGGAAAGGCCATTTTCTTGGGGGGCTGGCTGGGGGCTGCTCCCCTGCCCTCTACTCTCCGATTAAAAACGAAAGCCCATGATGACGAAGATTATGAGCAGAACGAAGATGAAAGACGTGTCTCGGGTCTCGTCCCAATGTAAGCCCTTCTTGGCCCGATCCTCCTGCTGCTTGCGAAGGGCCTCTCGTCGGGCCCTCAGGCGCCGTTCGCGCTCCAGCTGCTCGCCGTAATGAGCCTGGTAGAAGGCGTCAAAGTCGAACATGGGGCGGTTGCCACCCGGCGAGGCCTGACCGCGGCCCTGGGTCCGAGAGGCGGGCGGCGGGGGTGCGGGGGAGAGT